TGTAAATTGACCTAAGATATGTGCCACCTTGTGGTGGCGAATAGGTCTGAGTTTAAAATTCACACCGTCTATTTCTCTATAAGTCCCGCCTTGGAAACTGAATTTGATTTTTCATAAGAGGAATTGCGGAGTTTTCAGCTCCAATATCAGTAAGCCAATATTTAGGTTATGGGAGCAACAAGAAGCATCATGATCACAGTATGAGTTGAATTCAACTATTTTGTAGTAATCTCATCAACTGTGTAGATGCGTGCAGATCGCGTTTGGTTTGCGGAGCACACACAGGGAAGAGAAATCAATCAATACGGAGGTCAAAGTTCATTAATTCGAACACGATTGGGCATAGGGGCAAGGAGCGGGGGTGTGGTGAAGGACATTGACACCTACTAGGTCAGTGCGAGGTTGGCCGAAAATTCGGTCTGTTTACATAAATCGGGTTATGCTGCTCAATATACTGCAAAGTGTATTCGATTGTCTCATGCACTCTTCAACGATATAAGCCGATTTGTTCTGTCTCGTTGTACCAGTTGAGATGCAATGAAATCTGCCTTGGCACAAATCGCGCAACCTAGCTCAGTTGTAATCTCTCTTCAAAAGAAGTTGATATTCAATGCCAAATTATTGGAAAGACCGTGTTTTGTTCATATTGCAGTGATATTGCTTTGAATGTGTATTACAACGGAGCTATGCCTCCACTGAAGTAACCTAGATATCGAGACCCTAATTAAATGTATACAATCATCCGGAGTAGTCTATTTCACCTTTTTAGCCTACGAGAAAATTCCATAATATGTCCTTCCCTGGTTTTTGTTTAGTGCCATTTTACTGGAACAGATTCCGATCAAAGTGTAATTATGGTTCTAGTTGGTCTCCTGGATGTGATTAGAATGCTTAACGGACTCTGTTTGAATCAGATGCACCTATAGCATTTACTGTCCCACTGGTCACCAAGTGTCTATGGGAATAGTACACTCCTTGTGGATATCAACTATGAAAAAGTCAAAGGATATCCTGTGAGGAAAGCAAACTTTTCCTGAAAATCAGTCCATTTCTACCAGAAATCGAAATTAACCAATAAGAATGGACCAACGCCTCCGGATATTCCGTGGAATGAGCTGAGTATGCGAAAAGTCACATGGGTCCCCGATTCGGACAACCTTGTTGTTCACCTCTGCCCTGGAACGTTCTTATATCCGGTCTGGGAACACCCAAGGACAGTTACTGTGTAATACAATGATCACATTTTCCCAGTTCCTCAGTTGCACTCCTTTGAATACAACTGTCTCACTGTTCTTATTGGTTCGTGATTTTGGGAAGTCGACAGTTGAAGAACTAGAACTGGACATTATACAGCTAATTTGGCAAAACATAACCTAAACCACCCCTTTTGGTGCTCACCCTTAAATATGTTTCGCCAATTCGCACATTTATGAATAGTAATCTGATTATATTAGGTATTACGTTTAAAGTAACTCAAAGTTGTGACAGTTAAGGTTTCGGTACATCATCCGGAAGTTCATATTTTCAAGCTTTTCAACTGTCGACATATTATATCATTTATTAGTTTAAAACTTTTGATTAACTGAATTTTGTTTTCTGAACAATCGTTTCACAGTTTTTCTACAACGATTCAAAATGAGAGCTAAAGATGATTTTTTATTTATTTGTCATTCAAGTATAATTCATGTACCTACTTCTCTACTATGTTCGCAATTAAGAACGCATAGTAAAATCTTTTCTCCGGGTAGTTGGTCACTTAAAATAAGTTGGACAATGCGATGAGTAAAAACAAGTAATTTCATGCCGTTACACATTTATTGTTGCTCGCAAGAATGCTTTTGAGTAAGCTTTTATGTATGAAAGACAACTGACTGACTGACTAAATGTGTTTCTATTTTCCTTAGATAAACTGACACAAAATGCCACAGACAATATTTCCGGTGTAATTGCTCAGGAGCTGGAACAAGAAGCAATGGACACCGTTGCACAGGAACTGACCGATGACACTCAAGAATCAAGTGAGCTGAAACTGAATTTATGCACTTAAGATGTAGTGTTGATCAGCACTTCGAGAAAACATTGTTTTTCATGGTGCAAGCGTAAGCATTTTCAAACATTGATGGTTCAGATTATTTTCTCACTGGTACGAACAGATTTCGGTCATTAGTAGATGAACTTAATCACATGATCCTTTGGCTTTCGTTGATTTTGACATAACACAAAAGTAGAGTGAATATTGATTATGGGAAGCGCGAATGAGCCAGGGTTGATACGTGTACGTCGATTGTTGATAAGTATATATCCGCGACAGTAATTCCTAAGTTTCAAACACATTATATATATATATAATGTAGCTTAATGCAAATTAACATTATATAATTTAGTGATCATTTGTTACATAAGTCGAATGTACGAAACTTCCACAGATGATGACGGACTCTCTGAAGCACCAACTTACAACAAGGTACTAGTAAGCTTGAGCAACTACGTTGCACATAATGAGCCCTTATATTTTTCAGGGGTGGGTAGGAAAGAGCTGCGATTTTTCTCAGCATCCATAATATACATCGGTGATATTCATTTCGAATTTGCGCAATATTGTCGCAACCCATCTCTGTTTCTGAACATTGACTATCCTCAGTTAGACTCAGACAGACTGGTGTTAGAACTATAAATAACATCTGTGTATCGATCGACTTGAAGTTAAATGAGAAAATTACAACCGTGAACATCCTTGACTAAGTCGGCTCGCATTCGCTTCTCTATTTTGGGAAGTTTACTGCACAGAAAGCTCTGTGAAAACTTTCGTTATGCTGTCTTTACATTCAGGATATCCCTGAAATGCATAAGTTGTTTGTGCCAACCGGGCTTGTTCAACAACGCATGCCGTAGCCAGCAGAGGTCATACAAGAGGTCGGTGTTTTTAGGAACCGACCTTATTTTAGCCAAAAATAAAATGATGGTTTGCTTCTATTGAACGGTAACGGTGTTAGATCATGTCGTGATCCCCTATGTGCTTTTACATATTCTTTTGTCAGGGAAACCTTGCAGTAGTCCGCCCACTAGAAGGACGATTTTATTAGTTATACAGATTATTATCCCGTGATTCGTTCGAGAGTTTGGAATCAGACGCGTGTGAAATAAATACCGTCTATATCTAATAAGGCTGTCATTTCATCGGCCATGTGAAAGATTGTCGTTAAGATTCAGTGGATTATAATTTAATGAAGATGTCCGTCAAATCTATCCACCTTCTGAGCCGCTCACAAAGTGATCCTGGTTTTAGTCGCTTTGTCCGCTAACACTTCCGAAGAAATTGTGGTTTTAATTCTGTTGGCGAACCCACTTTGAACACTGGCAAGTGGTTCGTTGGGTTTTTCGCACTCCAGTCCCGTTATTTGTCAGTGCGTTGAGGGGCAAGTTTCTCACATACAACTTCAAAATAACTATAGATTGTGGGAACCAAATAACACGTCTGCTGTAGTTGAGAATTAAACAAGCAAAAATCAATGGTCCTGGTAACGCGCGCTGGGTAGGGGTAGAATGTCATAGTTAGATGAGAATGAGACTGCACTTGACACAGCATACCAATTAAAAAGGGTCTCAATCATGATTTGAGCAAGATTGACACATTCCTTTAGTCCTTTAAACATCAGAAGTTAACCAATTTAATAACAATTATTGTGCGCTATTGGCCATCATCATCGTCGGCAACAGCAACAGCATCAGCATCATCACATCCCCTAATCACGTTTATCATCAATGTAAATCGCATACAATATGAGGAAAAACTAAATAATGTATTACTATTAACCTGTTGCAGAACAAATTTGTTAAGCTCTGATTTCGGACTAGCGTTTAAAAACATTCTGGACAAGCGAATAAATGTAAAATGAAAATTAGGAGTCCAGTCAAGTTCAAAATCTCAAATAAATCTGATAATGCTAGGACAAAAGATGAATTGTACAATTTCGGTAGATATATTCGATTCTTGAAAGTGAAAGGTGAGTGAGCATTGAATTTATAGATTCGTGTCGTCCCAAACAACTTTGCGGTGGAGAAACAAAACTATGAAATTCGGCTATGGTAGGAGGACTATGATAGTCCCACATGTGACGCATTTGGATATACCGATAAAAATTGTGGGTTAGATAAAAATCGATCCACCGCAAAAGGGGTACAGGGAACTAGTGCAAAGTTATGCATAGACCAAAATAGAATAAAGAGCGAAAAAGTAAAAGGCGTAACTTCGAAGTTCAGTAGAGTAATAAACTAGAGATAATTATCAAATTGAGAGAATGGGCACAAAACTCTAAATACGGGTATGAACGCAAGACATTCTCCATCAGGATGATCATGCGTGGTGTTTCCCAGTCATCGGTTGCAAGTGAGATGCATGGACGAGATTTCGAAAGCCACAAGACGTAAAAACTCATTAGGAGAAAGTTTCCTCACTCCCATCAGACTTAGAAACTAAATAGGTAAACTAAAGTTCATGCACGAATTTAGAGGGGGTAGTCGAAAGCCGAAACGAGGGAGGGTAGATGGATGCGCAACGGTCCAATTCACCAGTTTGTGGAGGACCTGTGGACACAATAAATGCAATTTTGGGAGACAAATTGAAAGTGCATGGTATAATCAACTTGTTACATTCTACATACTAAATCGAACATAAACAGTAGCGAAATGACCGTATCAAGAGTTGCCATAAAATGGACGAGTTGAAGAAAAATAGATCAAGCAATGGAAGATACTTTTAGCCAGAAAATCAGGAATGTTTTAACGATCATGAGAATCCGGAATGAGATCTTCTTTCAGTGCAGTTAACACTACACCCACCTCATCCAAATGCGTAAAACAACAGCAGAAAAGGGAAATGTAGATGATTGGAATTATTGGAGTTTACAAAATCGCTCCACAAAGAGCGTTTCAGCTGCAATTCACAAGATTTCTTCTCATATAAGTGTACTGGATTTAAGTATTCAAGCCAAATTTAGTTTCTTTAGCCGATAGACTTATAAATAATTACGGTTCATGAGAAAATGATTAATGGGATACGGGACCAAAAGTGAATATGTGTCCGGTGCAAACATTCATCCCACAATATGGTGAGTCTGCAGATGATGAGATACGCTGCATATCAAGTGACTTTGGTGGGTCTAGAGACCGCAATATTACTTAAGTAAGAGGTAAAGTACGGAAAGCTGTGCGTGGTTAGTAGAGGTGAATAAAATCGGAATAAAGATGATGAGAGAGCGGCTACCCACACCCAACACACGACGTACTCTCGTCGCACGTGCCGGGCAAAGCTGGAAGAAGCGGCACGGCGGTCAAACCATGAGATGGCGCAGAGATATGAAGAAGCTGGCTTCGGCTTTGGCTTCGGTTGGTGCAGCACGCCTTCCAGGTTGGGGCCCAAGGGATGAGGATTGTCGTTGGCTGGAGACGCTAAGAGATATGGCCCACAATAGAAGTCAGAGTCGCGAATGCTGTACGGTCTGCCTGTTGAAGTCCCGTACCCCATAAAAAAGATAAAATGACAAATAAAATTTCAAAAAGTGTGCGGTGAAACACGAAAAAGTTGTTATCCCATTTATTGTTAATTTTCCATTTTAACAGTTCCGCCTTTTTACTATTTTCTGTATCCCAAACCCCCATCTCGTTATTATTATGGTTATTATTGTTGTGGCGTGGGCACTATGCTTGTCCGCAATCATTCCGCTTCAATACGGATTATGAACGAATGATATGACAAGCCTAGGGAACAAATCGATTTTAAACCAAGTGTACAGGCTTCTGGTTCTCTATTTTTATATCACAGTTTTCTGGATAGATGCCGTTTTTGTTGTTTTGCTTGACCTCAAATTAGGTATGTGCGATTTGGAACTTGAGTCAAACAACGGAAAATCCTTTGTTTCAAACCTTTTTGAAACCTAGGCTCGGATGAATCATCTACGGGCGTGTAGAGTCCCCAAACCCAAAGTGAAGGGATGACGAGGGTGATAGAATGGACAGAAGGAACCATAATATACATATAAGTCATCAGAAAATTGTTACCGAAAGCTTAAACGAGAATTTAGTATTGTATAGAACGAAATAGATCTTTGGATGAAGGAAAGCTTGAATGGGAGTCGAATCAGATCAAATGGAGCGAATGGGTATCAATAAGAGATCATTGAATTGATTAAGAAAGTTCACCGGAATTCCAGAAGACTACCAGGAGTAGCAAAAGATTCGTTCCACGGTGACAGTTGCTTCACAGTTTACTGATAACTACGGATGTTATCAATGTTCAAAGTTTCAAAATAGATTATTTGACCGAAAATCTTGCAATTTTGGTTTCTCGGTATGAGTGAAGGTCTGCCCCCCCAACTTACTAATTAATTACGAACAACGGAGATTAAGAGATAAAGAGGTGTGCTGCAACGCTAGAAAACGTCAGAATTTGCGTAGCTATTACAGTTCTCGGTTGATTGATGCTACTCGTTTTCGTGGGTCGATGCAATAAGATCCAACAATGGATGAATCCAATGGTTTGACCTGATGAATTTATTCACGTGAATCACGGATGATCACACGGTCTTATGACCAGTCTACAATATTCACTTAGAAGATATTTTTTTCGTCGTGCACCTGTGTTCACGTAACCTGTTGTGTCACGCGCGTTGTCTGATTACCTCATTCTGAGAGGTGGTAGTGGCCTCCGTTGTGCAGTGCTCATCACATCACAACGGTTCACATCCGTTGATCGAGGAGGACACAAAAAGTAACACAGTAAAAGGGAAATGAAAAACAAAAATACTTGTACTAATCTTTAACATGTGTGCGACAGCGATCAAAACACTGAGGGACATTGCGATGCAAGTCATACAAACACAAACACACGATTCATCCTCTAATATTCCACATGGTCGACTTTATTGAGTGGTTGACAGTTGTACGCGTAATACCCTCAAACACAAACGCAAGCGACACACGAAGTCAGATAAGCACAACCGGTTAACAATTTCGATAACACCAGTAAATACCCTTCAAAACAGGCTTTTGTTTTCACATACTACATAAATAATCACATTACCTGTTCACCCATACGGCGGACAGAGATTCTGGTTATGCTGTGCATGAGTAAATTCGCGGTTTAACCATATTTAAATACGCCACCAGCTCGCCAAAGCCCGCGCACAAATATTGTCGACAGAGCAAATTCAAGCGGAAGATGATGAATTCATATAGAATGGTGTTGGGAGAATAATGAGTGGATGCACAAGGGCTCTGTTTACGACACCCAACCATATCACTCAGTGTCTCTAACCACAGCAGTATTACGCAACTTCGCAATCTCATTGTTGAACTTATCAACAGACCAAACGTATTTTCCCGTAGTTCTCGGGAATGTGGCATTTCACACCACGTACAGAAAGTTCTGTGCGGAAGCCCTGAAACCAAATTTATTCGAATATTTCCATATTTTGAAATTAACAGGACGTAAGTAGATGTTGTAATTGGGGCAAATATTACCGATGTTGTTTAGCCGAAAAATAAGAGGAGTAAAAATGATTCGGAAAACAGATCACATGAAATTCATAACAGGAATGAAGATTTCGATGACTTCGTTAATACTGTGTAAGGGTAGATAAGTATAATAAGTGTTTTCCGTGGTTCTTCACAGTTTTCATTCATGTCAGTATCGGAAGTTATACATGCAGTGAAATTGATACCGAATACCACGTTGATTATGAAGAGTATATGGAAATGGTTGAAGCGTTGCACAAATCATTCCCATTCAAAAAGTCTAATGAACAGAATTCAGTCATCTGACCATCAATCATTATACTTAACTCTGTGTAGCAGTAATGGAAAAGAGAATATTTTGTAAGTAATCATCTCCATCGACGAGGACAGTTGTCTCTGTATGCCCCATACTCGAATTTTGGTCTAATAGCTTTGCCTTGCCGACCTGATAGACTTACATGTCGTGTTTGTGCACCAAGTCCTAATCGATGAAAATCTGTCTAACCTGAGAGGATTGAGTCTTCGTATGTCCGAGTAAATAAAAACGATAGATTAAGTTCCGGTTTCAAAACGTGAGAACTAAGACGAATTGAGTATTGTGTGGTATCCTGTTTGTGCTTTTGTGTAATCACACAAATTTGCCGAGGCCCTAGCCATTCACACTCTCAAACCTGATCTATGCAAACAACGCGAATGGTTAGTCACATTAGCTTTGCCTTGGTGACTGACCCCCTGCCCTATCTCATTCCCCCTTTTTGTGTTTTTTTTTTGTTTTTGCGTTGCGTTGTCCGTTGTGATTAGCGATCTTCTGTTTTTTCTCTCAAATCTGTTATCTCACTGACTATAAAAATCATTTGGACTGCAGTATGCAGTGTACAGATGCAGCGAAACGACCATGGATACATTGTGCAAACCCATGTTTCTGACTTCTCTGTTCAAATTTGTGACGGGAAAACAGTGTTTTAAGTTAATCACACTACCTCAGATTTTTGATAGTAATGGACACTCGGATGTACTGCCCCTAGATATTTGTAATGTTTATTTCTGTTTAAGCGCTTTCTATTTGGTTGGATTTTATGGCTGTGATTTTTTTATGTCGATGTAATGTTCTTCTACCAAAACATTTCTAGCACAGCTTCACGTCTCTCCAGCATAGTGAAGAGCGTCCTGGCATGGTTCATTATTTTTCAAAATCTACATGTTTGTAGTAAGCTTTGTGTTAGATTATTCAGCGATTGCATACATTCACAGTATTCTGCTTTTCACCAAAATGCGCTTCTGATGATTTCATTCCGTCAAAGCACCACAGGTTATCGCGGCTCAATCTTACTCTATAATATGTGCATAACTATCCCAAATCGGAACTAACATTTTCCCAAATCCAGATAGCGTCGTCTTTACCTGATTGCCTTTTAAGTGTATTCTATTGTTTCTCGTATGGCTCATTGCTGATACATCANGATTTAAGATTATCTGTGAAATGGCTATCGTAGCCGACTACCAATGATCAGAAATACACAGAATGCGTTTATTAAGCTCGGAGAGACCTGACTTGTCAAGCATAAGATATATTCGAGATGTGTACAACGTTTAGCATAGACATTCCTTAGGATAGCGTAAACATGAGACATTCAATCCGCTTTATTTTTTAAATTTCCTCTTTCCTTTTCCAAATAAAGCCGAAGCTCCAAATGAAGTATCAGGCAGTGAGTTCCTTGGTTTGAAGACATTTCTGGTTTCTCGAAAATTGTTTACATCCTTTTGCTGGCACACGGCAATCCACCCAGTTCCCTTACCAAGACTAATGCAACAAACACTCAGTAGTAAATTGAGCCTTTTCTATGCCGGAAGGCAACGTATCTATTTTTTGCAAGAGTGTAAACGTATACTCGCATCCATTACTAGTTACTTTATTTTCAGAAGCACGTTTGGTTAGTTATTTTTCTCATCTTTTTCTATTCCTCTGATCAAGAAATCAAAGAATCACTTATCCGCATGACCAACGCATCGGATATTGCAGACGGACATTAAAGTGTACCAAATTGCCTACTAATGCGACTGGACTACCGAGAATGATTTTCAGTGTGACCTCTTTAAGAGAAAAACAATAATTGTGAACGCTATCCTGAAGGGTCGAAAAACCATCAGTTTGATAAAGTGAATGATAACTGATTTGTGAAAGAAAAAACGAACAGTGAGAGTGGAAAAATCTGTATGATTTAACGATCTCCATCGGGCTAGTTATCAGTCCACAGTCAGCACTTTTTCACTTTGAACCAAGACTAGTTTATCGCGTAGCTTCGGTTGGTAATATGGTACCCACAGACAAATAAATAAATATTGTTTATGATAATATTTCGCGAAAGGGTGCTGAAAATGTCCGGAATTTGGTAGACAAGTCGTTTTTTGAACATCACTGTATTTCGATGAAACCTAAAACATTCTTGTGGAACATTCCTGAATCACGCAGAGGTGGAGTCCGAGGCGAGCATCCAGAGAAAACGGACACCGGATGTATACATTCCGAAACGTGAGAAACGTTTAGTTCGTCACTTTCTGACGATTTTGTTCTGTTCACCGTTCAGACTGATATCACAACTACCTCACAGCTTCTTATAGTTGCGTACATACTCATATATGCATGTACATACATACATACATACATACATACATACATACATACATACATACATACATACATACATACATACATACATACATACATACATACATACATACATACATACATACATACATACATACATGCATACGTAAGTACATACATACATATATCTTGTTTTGTGTTTACCTCCTTTGCTTTATCTCCTTTCTGTATGTTACGAAACTTGCTTTTGCTGTATACATTGCAAACGCAGAAGAATGAAGAACTGGAATGTTAGTTACTAATCAACTACGTTTCCACACTTTATGAATTGATGCAGTTATTTTCATCGGATAATTCTTTCTCTGCTTTACTAATAGATCTGCTTATTCCCGTCGACAAAAATCATCCGGAAGTTAAAACTCGCGTACGTGAAGCACTGAATAAAGCGAAACAACTGCCCGTTGAATTAGATGTAAACATCTATGTGGATGCATTGCGAGCTGCGGTCGAGGAAGCGGAGGAGCAATTACGTAAGGAGAATCCCGGTGGACCATTGTGAGTGCTTCCATCTTTTTTGTCTTTAGGGCTGGCTCAATTAATGTTTTCACAACCATTCAACTCAGTTTGTCGTGTTTGGTTCGGGTTGTTGTGTTTTTCGCTAACCCACTTGGTCCACTAATGAGGAGGAAGGAGTTGATAAAATTTAAAGCGCAGATTTTTGTAAAAATAAAAATGCAGAAATTCAGCAAATAAGATTCATGCAGAATTCAATGCACCCACTTGCTCTCAATCCAGTGGAGTTAGCAGTTCGGTTTTCCAGGAAGCAGAAATTAATTTCATATCCTGCACAAATTGCTCCAAATTTAGTACTGTATTTGGGGCACTGGAAAACTTTATTAGCCAAATATTTAACTCCAGGTCATAATGATTTTACTTTGATGCGATTTTTCTCCTGTTGAAGGTTGAGTTTGCTCTAAGGATATCTCTTACAACAGTCATGGCAATCCGTAGCCAGATAGGCATCATGAGATGTTCCGCTACATGTCCATTGCAAGATCACTTTCTCCATGCCGGTCTTGATGGCGTTGGATCACGTTTGCGTTTTTTCACCCGAGTAGCAGTACCAGCCCGTGGAGACAGTGTCGGGTAAAGGCTGTCTTCACTTTTTACAGTAGCAGGAACGCATGATCAAACTGTTGGAGGCGGTGGTGGTGGATAAATGCATATCATTTATCTGTTCCAAGGACATTGTTTGAACATACCGTTGCATACCCGACCTTGAGGACACGTCGGAGAGAATCAGTAGACATCAATAATAAAAAGTCTTCATTTTTAGATATTCAACGGACAACGATGCCAATGGTCAGGTAATGGTGGATAGTTCTGTCAGACTTCCGAGTTCAACCGCAATTTTGCCGACCTTTTTTCGTAGTCGCGGACACGTGCCCGGATATTTGGCTAATATTATTGTACCGTGATTTGTTTGGCACACGGTCTGACCTCAGACGTGTGTGAAATACAATGTGACTTCAAGATTTTGATGAGGCTCTCGGTATCCCTTCGATTCATAAGAGGTTTCAAAGACAGTCCCTCTCGAACGAGTTCAGATCGGAGCTGATCTTTTTAAACAATGCTGATGGTAGCTGTTGAAACTTGTGAGAGTGTTCCAAAACATTATACTGAACAAAAATCTGCTTGACACTACCTCCTTCACAGCGCAGTGCTTCCTGATTTGAACGGGTGTTTTTTGTTTCCGATGGACGCGATGAGATGGAGTATAAGTGCGAGGATCTTGTCAACTCTTTCAATTAATATTGTTATTCAGCAATTCATCCATTTCACTTCGTTTCCTTTTCTGTAAATGCGAAGAAAACCCAAGGCAGACAAATATTGGGGATGATATAAAATAGAGGATGTCGCGGTTCCAGTAGAACCGGGAGGCTGACATTCAAAATTTCTCGAGGCTTTTCACCCGGAGCTTTATTATTCGTAAAGTATCCACACCAGGAGGTGTTCTGAGCGGACATGGTGAATCAAAGCCAGTTTACTACTCATCCGTTGCGTCAGTCTCTAATAATCTACCGGACAGAAACGAGGAGAGGTTCAGCAGCTAACTTAATTTTTCGAATCACCTTTGTATTTTTGGAGTTCTCTAGAATCAAGTGGCCACTTGAGTCCCATCGATTTGGTTAGACCGGCATCCGCTTAGCCGAAGCGTTTTGTAATAAATGATGCAGCTTGCTGAGGTCACTGGCGATTGCTGTAACAGTGATCATCCGGTGTAGCTTGACATCAGCCCAGTGGATGGCCTCTCGATGAAATGAGTGGAAGTTGGGAGAATATACCTAGTGTTCTTCAATTAATTTAGAAGAAAGTGAAAGATTCGTGTTGAAAATCCCATTCGTTTTCCGTTTGAGAATCACACTTAACGCA